TGTAATATTCAGTGTTTTGTCCAACCCAATCTCTATTTCTGAATTGTTACAATATATTAAGCCTTATGTGGCAAATGCAGAAAGAGTGCATCATTGTCATCACCATGTTATATGTCTTCCTCTCAGATGGTTTCTACAGACAGGTGAAACAGATCAGTGGCGCTCATAACAAAGCAGAGACAAACCCCTCCACAAAAGCAAAGAAGAGGCGGAGCAGCGCACGTGGCATGGCTCCCAGTGTGGTGAGTTTCTTGGACAGCTGACCCTCTTTAATGAAAAGGACCAGGGCTGTGCAGAAGGAAGGCTGATCTGTGTGCACATTGTCTGTCTTGCAGGACTCCCAGCAGAGTGTCACAGTGGTTTTGTTTCAGGATCAGCACACCCTCATCTCTTCTGGGGCTGTTGACGGGTAAGAAACCACAGTTACTTTTTTGTAAAAGGCAGCAAGTCAATATATAAAATGGCTGTCAAAGCAAACAGACCAGCATGGTTGTAATCATTTTTTATTTATTTCATTCCTCCTAACCAGAGTAATCAAGATGTGGGATCTGAGGAAGAACTACACGGCGCACCGTCAGGATCCTGTTCCGCTGCAGACGTACCCATACCCGGGTTCTTGCATGCGCATGCGTCTGGGTGAGTTTTGTACAACGCTGAGCATCGTGTTTACCTGAAATATGCACATGACCAGGATGAGCTGAATGTTTTTTTGCATGTGTTTTGCAGGTTATTCCGGACTTGTTCTGGACTCCACGCGATCCAACATCATGTGCAACTGCACTGACGACAGTATCTACATGTTCAATGTCACTGGAATAAAAACGACTCCAGGTAATATATCATAATGTCACTAGATGGGGCTGCAAACTAATGTCCTTTGCTTTAACTGTCATGGGGAGAGTAAAGCAAGTGGGCACCTGACAGAGGACATTTAGAGGATGCAGGGACATTGTTTACTTGTACAAGTCAGAGATATGAATATGTGAACCACAGGACAGAGTTTCTCTGGTCATTTAGTTATAGCCCTCAATCATTTGCACCACACTAAGGTTCATTTCATGTGTTTGTATTGCTCCATTTCAGGAGCAAATGCTTTCTGAATTGAAACTTTATCTAGAGATACTAACATTGCTGTTTGTTTTCTTCCCCACAGTGGCAGTTTTCAGTGGCCACCAGAACTCCTCATTTTATGTGAAGTCCACTATTAGCCCGGATGACCAGTTCTTGGCCAGTGGCTCAAGTGACAATAACGCATACATCTGGAAGGTAGGGTCTCTATTTTGCTTGGCCATATTTAATAGAAAATAGTTTTTTGCGTTTGTGATGTTTTAGGGTGATCTTGATGCATTTTAGCGTTTTTCATTGGATTTTACATTTCAGATCTCTGATCCTAAACATCCTCCCATGATGCTCCAAGGCCATAGCGAGGAGGTGACATCTGTTGCATGGTGCCCAACAGATTTTACTAAGGTGAGGCAACAAACTTTCTTAGTACAGTTTGACTTTTTCCACAGGCTCTTTGAGGAACCTATAGATATATAACCAGCCATGGTAATCTCCATCCTGTTTCCTTTTTACAAAACCTGCAATTATTTCAGAGTTTTTTTTGTTTTGTTTCCCTGCTGTGAAGCTGAGCCGTTTTAATAGGCTAGGAAGATGGATTTAGCCTGTGTATAATCCCAACTGCTCTGTCGGCAGATTGCTTCTTGTTCTGATGACCACACTGTACGGATCTGGAGGCTTCACAGGGAAATGGATGGAGCACAGTCTTCAGTGGGAGAGGCCAACCTTGTGGGCTGGGCACGTCCTAAGTCTCCCTCAAGTGAGTGTTACAAACACCATTAAAAAAACGTCTGTTCTGTTCTTCATATTATTACTTTACCTTAGCATGAGAAAAGTGGAAGTTATAAATAACTGTATTCATGGTGTCACATCTCAACTGACTTCTTCTGCTTTTGTTAAGGGTCTTCAGTCCAAGCTGAAACGACTCCTGCCAAGACCCAGAGGACAGAGAGTCTTGGTGGCCTGGCGTCACCCCAGCTTGCTGCTTGTGCTCCCAGTGGAGCCTCCCTGCCTCTGCCCTCCAGCACCACCTCACCTAGCCCTTCTCAGGACGCTAAGACTGCTGCTGTTCGCCAGAGAACACCATCATCTATCAAACAGTGGCTATCCCCGAGCCGTGGATCCCCCCGTCAGGTGAGCCTTCTGCTCCGTAGGGTACTGAGCCCATGTCACCAGAGCCCTGCGAGCAGCACCTCTCCCACAGAACGACGGGCCAAGCGCAGGCTGGAGACTGGCAGCGGAGCATCTACAAGCTGCGAGAGAGCAGAACAGTGTGACTGTGTTACTGAACTCTACCCCGAGGCCAAGAAAATCCGGACCCTGTCAGGAATCTGCTGCCCTGCTCAAGAGAGCCGGGTACAAACAGACTGTCACACGGAGGACAACAAGCAAGCCTCATCGAGACAGACTGGGAAGGAGAATTTCTCTCCCAGAGCAAGTGACTGGTTGTCAGTGATGGGCCAAAAGATGAAGACAGGTCATGGAAGCCCTAATACTCCCAGAAGCCCCAGTGCCTCTAAGAAACAAGAAGGCAAGACACCAGCTTCACCAGTAAGCACAAACAGTTTTCATGTCCTATTGTGCAGTGTTCTTGGAGCTTTTTCATCATCAGCATAAAAATGTCTTTGACACAGCTGTCAGATTATCTTTTTTTTTTTGTTCAATAGAAAGTGAATATTCCCCTGATGGGAACTATTTATTCAAGGCAGAGTGAACTCTTGCACCTATTTGAGACCAGTGAAATTGTCATTCATTTTGGCTGTGCACCGTTATAGTTGCCTTCTTTCTCTTCCACTTAGTTGGAACGTTGCCAGTCTAGAAATTCAAGATTACTCTCTCACTTCTAGCAAAAATATTTCTGTGGAAATACACAAGACTGATTGTTTGGTAATTAAGTGCTAATGTGTACATGCATGGTAATGTTCTATAGCCATTAAAATGAATATTGCAGTTGACCTTTTTTGTTTCTTGTTTTTCAGACCATCTGCTCACCACAAACCATGAAGAAAATCTCCACATATTTCACGAGAAGGCCTCTGGAATGACCACGTGTGCCAGTCAGATGCTCTGTTTAAAATGTTGTATTTTTTTTTATTTTTGAGTATTATTTTTAACCTGAACCCACAGAAAATAAGCCTCTAAGAACACTATATATGTCCAGACTACGAGTACAGGAACCTGGGCTGCATAGAGATAGACAAAACCGTCATTCTGAATATTTGATGCTGCGGTTTTCACATCCCAAAAGGCTGCTTTATTTTAATTGGGTCATAGGTTTTGCAGTTGCCTCCTACACATTTTCCAATGCTTTGCAGAATCTTTGGTTGGAAAAATGAAGTTGCATGTTGTTGAGTAAATCTTTCATTTTACTCAAACCCTATAACTTTAAGAGTTTTATATTATGTTTAATACAAGAACCCACATTTAACAAAGTTGTTCAGGAGGTTAATCCTCAAGTGCAGAGAAAAATATTTGTCTGCAAATATGGACATTTTAAAGTCTGCTAAAAAAAAAAAGACTATTATTTGATACTCATCTTACTCACATTCATTTTATGAACTTCACTAAGATGTATCGCTTCATCTCTTTGTGTTTTTTTTTTTTTTTTCATGTGTGGAGTTTGACAGTTTTCCTTCTGTGTTACACATACAATTCTGCAAAATGTTTTTTTTTTCTTGAGCAAATGCTTAAGTTGTTTATATGTACAAAATAACCTTGCTTGGTTCATTTGTATTTAATTGTCACAAATTTGCTGTGGTCAGATTTTATTAAATTGAAAATTGTTTTCAAAGTGTGTCTTTGGATTGGTTGCATATTAGTGTGAGCCATGTGTGATAAAGAGTGCTTGGTTCTGAGACACAGCTGATGGTAAAATCTTGACTAATACTTTACTGCTGTGGATACAAAGTTTGTATTTTTGTGACTCCTTATTTGAATATGTTTAAGGGTATGGAGGGTTAAAATAATTAAGTTTTTTGCAAACCCATAGGAGGATCCTGACCTTCTAGTTGGAAACTATATACTGTAAACTATATTCTTTAATTATCGCCTGTTTAATGACAGAATATGTAGTATTTTATGCAGTAAACCATGTTTAGCTGATGCAGACTTCATGTTTTGATCTTTAGTACCTGCTACATCTGCCACTCCTCATTCAACTGCACAGCGTCACGCATTTGTTTTCCCATGTCACATGTTCAGGACACTGTTTCTGCGCGACCTGATTGGTTTAAAAAGTTTACAGTCTTTTAATTCTCTGCTTGTGATTGGCCGCTGGAGGTGTCACTCAGTGACGTGCATCTGTCAGCCTCTGCAGTCCACCGAACCGTGAAGTGAGACAGGCAACGACGGAGCGGCTTTACTGGGAGTGTTTTTATGGCTGCCTGCTCAGCACGACGTCCGGTAATTTGTTGTATTTAAGAACGCTCGGGCGTTTTTAGAGGCCGTGTAAACGAAACTACAGCTCTGCATTCGGCGAGGAATGTAGTTAGTCGAGTGTGGACACGGCTAACTTTTATGTGCTTAATGAGACTCGGCCGTCGAGTGAAATTGAACTTCATCGATCGCGGATAGTCTGAAAATACGCTCAGCTGAAGTGTAACTGGGATGAAAAACAGTGCGTCACCTCTTGGACTTGGTGTTTTTACGAAGAACTACACGAATTTAATGGGGCAACTATCTTTTGTAACTTTTTTCCCTCAACAGCGGTGCAAACTGTTGTCGTAGTGGCAGACATTCACGTCAGCTAATTTTAGCAAGCTAGCTAACTGTTAGGTACGTTAGCTGGAAGCCTAGCAGGACAGGAGCTTGCTACTGGCAGGACTTAACAACTAATTCACCCAACTTTCTATTTTATGACAATGTCTTTCAAACCTTTTGCAACAGGTAAACATTTTGCAAACACGACAAAGCAGTAAAAACCATAAAATCTAGAAACGATCATTTTCTTGTGTTGGTAACGTTACCTCCGGGTTGTACTTCGGGTATAGTCATGAGTTGTAGTTTGGCTTTGTGGCTCTTGTTTTGAAGATTGCTCCCGTGTTTCCGAAAGCAAGTTACCCCAACGATGCAGTCTTTGGACACAGTCTAACCCCAGCGCTGAGCGACCATGTTGGATCATACAGAATAACATAAGACTTGAGCAGGGGACGAGCTTCAAGTCGCGCAGTTGGCTAACATATTTTTGTGCTGATGCGAACGGTAGGAACAGAAGAGGAAACCTTTCATTTCACCTAGGGGAATACAGTAGCTTGTCAGAAGTCTTCGTCAGTTTATGCATCAAAATGTCGGCCATCTCTGCATCCGAGAAAGTGGACGGGTTTACGAGAAAGTCCATGAGGAAGGCCCAGAAACAGAGGAAATCCCAAGGCTCCTCGCAGTACCGCACTCAGACCGCTCCAGTTGAGCTTTCACCGCTGCCGCAGCTCAAAGGTACAGTAAGAGGATGAAAATAGACTGTCATAACCAGTGTGTTATGTGCGCAGCTATTTCATTCAGCATGCCTATTACCAGAATTGCACCATACATAAATTAAATTAAGTGAAGGCTATCTAAGTCGTAGGTCACTTTGTTTAAACCTTTTGGGGAAACACAGTGGTCAAAAGAGTTGTGGACACATCTCCAAATATTTATTTTCTCACTTACTTGCTTCCACACAAGCAGACTGGAAGGGTTGGCAAAAAAAGTCAAAGTGCATCGCATCAGTTTCTTTGTGCAACATACCCAGTTTTGTTTACTTTTCTGGCATCACTGTTGCTTTGTGCTTGATTCCAAGTTCCAAGGTGTTTTTGCAGAGACCCAGAGGAGCCTCAGTGGATGAGTTTGGGCTGAATTGTGCTTAATTGACATGCAGAGGCACATCCAGAGAGAAATGTTGAAGAAGGGGTTAAGAGGGATTTTTGCTTTTGAGTCAGTGCTCTATATCTTCTCCAGAGTTGATGGGTGCATCCACAAAAAAGTGACTACTACAGTTAGGGGCTGTGGAGAAACGATGTGTAAAAACACAAGACCTGTGATTGTGTTTTCTTTCTGTATGTTGATGCTGGTCTAGACTGTTAAGACAGCATTGAGAAAGTTGAATAAAGGCTCATTAATCTGTTCTCTAAGCCACTTTATCCAAGCCTGATACTAAAGCTTAATCACAATACTACAGTATTGTATTCTAACACTGAAGAGGCATCACAATGGTGAACTACCTGTTGAATACCAGATAGTTAGTTTATGATTGTTTTAGTTTTTGCAACAACAAATGTACAGCGAGTGTATGTCATTGACAGCTGGTTAGCCTTAGAATAAGAGAATACAGGAAACTGCAAAAATGCACCAAGTGAAATGTGACACTTGAGTGGGATAAAATGAGTTTGGGGTATCTAACAGTAGTCTGTTGTAGGTGGAGGTGGATGGAGGTCTGGTAAGGTTTGGCATGTGACCTGATTTAAGAAGTCTGTTCCCAACTAGTCAAGTGTTCTTAACCACAAATGACACACACAAACATTTAGATATCTATGTAAATTCAAGTTATGTGTACCCTTGCAACCCTCGCAGTGGTTTCTACAAGATGGTAATGTTTCTGCTGTGTAGAGTTAAGTATTTTATACTTGGGTGGTGAACTCCTGGCAGCTTTATGCGCCTGTAATGAATCCAAAACAAAATTGTACCCACATGGCCCAAATGCTGTGCTATTAAATTATTTAAAAAAACAAAAAAAACCAGTATTGCAACAACTGTGGTAATGACAAATCTAAGCATGCACCCGACTAGATACCGGTTGGTTGTCTTCCTGTAGCCTAAATCTGACCAAGCTGAATCTTCTTACAACTGTGTGTATCTTAAGTTCCATTCACAACAGTGTGTGTCATTTTCACTGAAGTGTAGCATCCATCTTGCATCGTTTTCATTCAGCGAGCATAATACACAGGAATGCAAATATAGTTTGCTTTGTCTTCTACTCTTCAGTATATTAGAGCGATAACATAACCTTATACCTTTTAGAACCATTTACTAGTTATCATATAGAAATACTACTGTGAAAATCCTTTTGTGACCCCCCCCCACCCAAAAAATGAATTTATGGTATTGACACAACGCTGCCCTTGCTTATATTAACGGCATGTATTTAATTTTTTTCCATATTTCAAATTCAAACTGTTGTAATAAAAGCTAATGACTAATTTGCACTTAAGCAGACATGCCTCAACAGCCTATCACCGGTGTTTGTGTTACTGGAGGAAAGAGCGCAGTTGAAGTAATAAAGACATGCCTGGTCAAGTAGTTGGAACTTTTCAACATGATGAAACTTCTCAAGATGCTCAAAACAAAATGTCATGGATGAGTTTGGGTCAACAGTGACTGCTGTCCTACAATTTTAAAGAATTGTAGAAAATATAGCATCTAATATTTCATCATGACTGATTTGATGCATACAAAGAGTAGTTTTCCAATAGGATTTTCAAACGCTTAGTATGATGTTACCAACCCAGAGCGTTGCACAACAGAACCCAAAATTGACTTGAAACACCATGGCAGCTACTGTCTTGTTGACAAGCGTGAAAGTGACAGTCACATTATCCGACTCTCTTCCACTAAAAGCTTAAGGGCGATTTGTGCCTTGCTGTGGTGATTACGGCTGGTATAGAATAAAGGAAATCTGTATTTCAGTCATTTGGATTGTTTTTGTTTGAGGTGTGCAGATTATTTACCTGACCGGTTGATTCTGCCCAACATGTACTTGTCTGTCATCTCTTGTTTATTGTGTTCATGTATGACAAGGGGGGCATAAGATATGTGCTGTGCAAATTCATACACACATTTGAGTTGCTTAATGACGTCAAATTCATTCATTCAAGCACTTGTTGATGAAATATTGAGGTATATTGTAGTAAGGGAAGCAACAAAGATCTTGTAGATGTGAGATGCATCACTCCGTAGCTAAAACGAAGCGTTCAACACAGGGTGAAAAGAGGAGCTGCAGCAGTGTGCAGTATAACAAAAATATGGTGTTTATTGAAAATGAGACCATGTAAACCTGTTCTGGTACATCCCCTAAATAAGAACCTGGAAAAATTAGCATAATCTGACTTATTTAATACAAAAACATAGTAGAGTGGATACATGGAAACAAAATATTGGTTTTGGGATGATAGCACTGTTTAAGTCAGTTTACACAGTTGCCCCATAGCCCAAATTAATAGTACAATGTTTCATGCAACAATAGTTCTTTTTATTAGTGTAAACCAAGCATCTTAACATGGTTTCTCAAATTAATCCTACTTAAAGGCGAAACACGGCAGGCATCGTGTTTTAATGCACTGGCCAATTTTAAGGTTTTGGGCTACTTCCTTAACATGTTGTCTTTCAGACTTGTGGGAGGAAAAAGTCCAAAATATACATTTTGTATATTTAGTATATAACATTTATATTTAGTAGTTTATTTTACTACAGTTTGTCTCTGTGCGTCTGTAGATTTCTCCTAAAAGTTAGCTTTATTACGCTACATGTCCTCCCGCTGTCTGCACCATATGATCCCTGGTCCCTTTGGAAAGCGCTGTCTCTCTCTCCTGCACAACGTTGTCAGATCCAAATATGGTAATTTCCGTTGTACCAGCAACCAATTGTGAAAGTACAGAGGCGAATTTAAGCTAAGCGTGAAATCTGATTGGCTAGTGTCGATTAGCTTTCTTTCATTCGTGTTTAGTTCACTGTGGGTGGCTCTGTCTGTTTCTGTGTCTTAAGGGAGACAGTTCAGACACGCTGGTACTCCGTTATCAGTTTTGATGTGTTGATGTTATAGAATGGTGTATTTAATAATTTGATTCGATATTGGATATGTAAATTAATTTTCAATGAAAATGTGTAGGATTGTACAGTAGCCTACTTGTCTTTAGAGGCCGTTTTTCTCCTCTTCAGTAGCACTTACATACACCAGACTTTCCAGTCGTATTCCTGACAATATTCTGAAGGTTTTTACAGAGGGTTTTGTTCATATATCATTCATAGCCTGAATTATATAACATTTTATTCCCAAAAACAGGTTGAGAAATATCTTTCTATGCCTGAGTATTTTTTGAAATGAAATGAAATAAACCGACAGTCTAAATCCCCTTTTGTAAAAACATTTGAGTATTTGTCGGCAACGTAAAACAAAAATTTTGAACCTAACTTAATACAGTGTTCAGCATTTAGTGCTTGAAATAAACGCAATTTAGTGCATATTTCATTAGATACTGCCTCATTTGCATATTTAAACATAATATTTCAGAAAACCACAAAAAAATAGTGTCTTCATGTAAGTAATCAACTAGGAAAGTGTCATGGTACTTTTCGACTAGTTAATTTTTTTACCCTATTCACCTACAGTGTCTTGCCTTAACTGAGTAATAGTGTTCAATTTTGTCAGCACCTTTCCTGGTTCCCACAGTAAGACTAAGAATGTAAATCTCTGCAGCCAGTAGATTTTAGGTCCTAAAAGATGGTAGACAGCATTGATGCCTCTTCCCTTCTGCAGCAGAGAGGTTGGATTGCTTATCGTTCCTGTTGTGTGATACACTGAAAAGATGAGTCACTCAGAGACCATCATTGTTGCCATGACAGCCAGAAGCCTTGAGAGCAAGCCAGGGAAATGTTTTACTTTCCAAATGCAGACTGCTTCATTTAGGGTGATATTTCTGTCACTGCAGTGAAATTTTGAGCTGAGCCATTTCTAACTAGACCTGAGCTTACGTTTGGGTGATGTGGTGGTTATTGTCAGTAGCCTAAATACAGTACAGTCACAGTATCCAAAGTGCATTGATTTTTCTTCCCATGACTTGTTCCCACGCAGAAAATCAAGGGTTGGTGTTCTTTTGTATACGTTTTTACTCTGGTTTAAAGATGATATACTGATTCTTGAATCTGTTGACTGAAAACAACTTTATTAATTATCACACTATTTCATTTATCACATATTTTAAAAGAGTACTCTGCTAATTCAGCAAAGGACTTGAGTTTTTTTATTTAAAAAGGATCAAAAATTATAGAGCAAAACCAGGGAGTTGTCCTTTATTTTTGCATACCCCTCTTGTCAAAACCGGACACTTCAAGCAGAGCTGAGGAGCCAGCTTCAGTGTTCTGGGCAAACTCTCTTCTTTCTAACTCCCTACCTCCCAGATTCTTTCATTTCTCCAGCACCAGCTGACATGGACCTAAGTGACATCATGAGGCAGTTTTTTCAGACTTTGATTTTATCAAACCTCTAAAGCCACGTAATGCTTGATACAACTTTTCACATGCAGAAGTACGCCTCGCGCTAAACACACAATTAACCACAACTCTTACACATATGGGAGCTAATCACATATTGCCATCCTCATGTAATGTGCTGCTTCTGGCTTCTGACATTGAATTCAACCACAGTCTTTTCCACCACCAGGACTAAAGCTCTGTGTAGATTTAGA